CACACACATATATACATACACACACACACACATATACACACACATACTGTATATATCATTTAAAAATGTTATTTACTATTTATCCTTAACTTTCTTAGCTCAAATTTTCAAATCATGAGTTCAGTATCACAAGTCCCTTATCAATGTGCTGTAAACGTGTGTTTTTCCACCACATTACAACAAAACATATCGTCTCACTTAATGCCATGGTGTTTGTTTTGTTTTTATTAGCCTTGATTTTTGACTCCACCACACTACACAGGTGGTGAAGGGAATTTCTTTTATGATGCTCACAGCACTGAAAATGCCCTTTATGAAAATCAACAGCAACATTCCTGAAAAGGTCTCCCTGTTGCTCTGGATAATCCACACACTTTGCTGTGAACATGTACATGAACTACTCTACCAAATAAATAGACCCAGTACAAATAGTTGACAACTTGTTCCGGGATTAACCAAATTCACAGAGGCAATTTTGTGTTGAATCACATTAAAGAAAATTAAAAGAAAGTAGTGAGTAAAAAAACAAGACATGGCAATCTATTATATTCTGACTTTATTATGAGGTCGGCAGCCAGAAAGCTCAAGCTGAAGGAGTTCGACAATGATTTGGTCAACAAACCTTTTTAACGTGTTTTAGGCACTCAAGGTGCTGCTTGTCTGGACTGTTTTGGAAAGAGACAAAGAGGTACAGGGTTGGACCTCCTCTGATACCACAAAAGTACAGAGTAAAACTGGGCACTAGTGGCTGGGTGGATGGATGTCACGATCATTGGCAGTGGACGTGATAAGGCTTTATAACGGGGGCTTGTACAGGAGGAAGTGGTGGAACCCCCCTGCATTTCAGCTGAGTCTCAGCGCTCTTTAACATCTTAGGCAGAGGCTTTACTTTTTCTGCTTTAGGTTCCTTCTCCTTAACGGGGCTGCAGTGTTTTGGTGCTGAACGGTCGGAGGACTGCAGTGGAGGAAGTGAGCGGCGGCACCTGATGTTGTAGCCCTCAACAAGTAGGTTGACCCCGACATACTGTGGCATGTCTACTGCTGCCTAGAGACAAAAAGGGGAACATTTAATGTAATGTATTCCTCCCTCACAAAGTGGGCCACTTGAATGTACGCTATAACCTGAAGAGGAGGGAGAACTCTTCCGTACCTGCTTATATATGAGCTCAAAGTCTCCAGTGTTTGCAGTGCGGTCTGCCCTCCGGTCCAGGACGACGCGTAATGTGTCTTCCTGCACAGCAGTACAGAGGCGGGCTGTCACAGGGGTGGAGGGAGCCATCGTGGGACTGGCATTGAGTTCTATCAACCATGGATGCAGGTCAGGACCTTAGAAACACAGAACAACATATCTAAGTTGTGATTATTCCTCCGTTTTCATAATTGTGTTTATTAAAATGTGATCTATATTAGAACGCCATGTTTATTTTACTACTTATATATACTTGTTTACAGCTCCAGAAAAAGCATTTTTAATGTATAATTTGATGCGTGTTGAAACAGGCAGTATAACATATTCTGTACGATAGCGTCATTTACAGTGATCCCATCCTACCGAACATGAAGTCAGCACCGTAGAGCTCAAATGTGTTGTCGCGTGAATCCATCAGATCCTGTGTTGTCTGTAATGCGTGGATAACAGCCTTCTTCATCCCGGGGACCACCACCGTCTGCCACTGAGCTTCCCGGCCCTGGCTGGACAGAAATGTCCTGAACTGGTCATCCGACCACATGTTGTCTGCTGGGATACCGAGATGGCGTTGTTTGGAGGGTGTCAGGTGCTTCTGGATGGAGTTATTGCACAGGTGGACAGAGCTGCAAGAATGGGGTAAAGAGGCCAAGATTGGAAAGACAGATGAGAGGAAATTGGTGACAAGGAATGGAGAGAAGTATAATGAGACATGAATTAAGAGGGCATGGTTGAAGAGAAATGACACAAGCCTCTCACTGCTTCTAGTCTCCAACTACTTTCTGGAGAAGTATCCCCATCTTACCTGTCCAGTGTATCTAGTGAGTAAGGCTGCGTAGAGAAGCGCAAGTAGCACTTTTTATAGAACCACACAGTCAGAGGGTTCCACACGGTGACCAGGAACCACTGGCGCACGTCAAATTTGGTGCCATGTGCCAACAAAGGACGCTCCAAGTACTTCTGCACTACCCACTTGCTTTCCTTCCTTAGGGTTGGATTAGTGTCCACCAGACTGAGGATCCGATCCAGACGCCTGGCACAAATGATACCTATAAGGCAGGTGTCGCAGGTCAGCCAGGACTATGTCAGATATTATGTGAATGGTTTGTCTGACTTCTCACCTCTGCCCCTGGACTTTGCTCCTGGTTTGATGATCCAGATGTTGTGTATGCCGTCTATGTCCAGCTGTGGACTGACCTCCACCAGCCTCTGTAGCATTGCTTTGCAGCAGGTCACAAAAGGCTCACTGTTCTCGACCTCTGCTCCTTCACTGTGCGAGGAAACAGAGAGACTATAGTGAGATACCGAAAGAGCACTTTGGTTTGCCAGTTTCCTTTTATCTCTCACACAGTACTCACTGAACAACGAGGTAGTAGCCGTTGATAAACTCTAAGTGTTTGTGGTGTCTCTAAGGGTACGTCAATGTCACCATGCTCCAGTCTCTCTAGAAACTCTTGGCATACTCTGAGTGCGCTGTTAATCATTTGGGAAAGGACCACTGGACTAGATCGCAGTTTGCTTCGTATCCTCACAGGCTGAAGGTTGTGTCTGTTTCCCTCTGCCTGAACACCCTGCTCCCTCTCCACAATGTACTTCAAAAAACTGGTGCAGGCTGTCCTCCTGTAGTCCTCTACACAAAGCACAGAGACAGGGAGGCATTTATTCTAAGTGTTCTCTGTGAGTGAAGGTGGAAGGATGCTGGAAATACAATAAAAAAGAAAGAGGTGTGATCTAGTTAGATGGGCCGTTAGGTGACCAATGAAAGCAGCCTTCTCATCCTGTGCTCCTGGTCTGTAACAGCGAGGGAAGAAGGTGTCTGGGTCGGCTGAATCAAACCAGTGCAGGTTCCTCAGGTTCATACACAATCCCACCTGATAAAGAAAAGACAAATATCGATGGTGGGTGTGACAGGAGACAACTGAATAGTCATTTTTTTGGCTGTAACAAATGATTATAGCATATAAAATGTACCTTGGTGGTGAAGCTGCCTGCTTTTGCAAAATGATTTGTAATCTGTTCTTTTTGCAAACTCCTGGTGTTGATGGTGTCTCTACGGTTGGTCCAATAGAAATAAACCTTTTCATTACGCACCAGGCGAGACTGTATGAGAACGGGGGGGAAAGGATGAGAGCTGAATCTGTTAAGACCCTTAAATGTCCAACATGTTTCACAAAGTTAGCAACAAGTTTTCCCTTGCTGTGCCTCTTCCTGCCTGTTTGCATATCACGTTAAGCCTCATGTTAGCCTACAACCATGAATGTTATTTATTACCATGATATCATATAGTCCATCTGGATCCTGCTCTTTTTCGAGATCGTCTGAGTTATCTGAGAAGAAGGAGCAATGTAAATAAATGATGGGATATAGATCGATAGATATCCACATCCAGTGACAACGTGATTTCTGAAACAGTCATTCTTTCATCAAGCTAACCGTCATCGCTGTCACCAGCATCGTTAGTGCTGGCTCTGCGAGAGTTGTGGTTTGGGCGGTGCATGCGCTGCTCCACCCAGCCTCTGGCCCTCAATGCTGCCCTGACGGCAGGGTACGGGCCCTGGACAGAGAATACCTTATGCATCTGAGAGGAATCAGAGCAGACACCAGTCATGGACAGCTTTGTGGAACACATGTATGCGACCACATACATGTTGTGTATATCCAGTAATGTTAACCCACCCTGACAGCTTGTTCTGTAAGGGCTTTGGCTGTCCTTAATCTCTCTGGGTTAAGAACAGGTAAACTGACAGAACTGCGGCAAACTTTTCCCTCAGGAGGGTTACCTGATGCACACACACACACACACACACACACACAAATCAAAATCTGTTGAGTGATTTATACTGTTAGTTGTCTAGAAAGCTCTTCAGAGATCATGCTGTTCCTGCAGTACGAGATGACTATCCCAAGGGAACCCATTAAGCCTGTTGGTTGTTGACCTGCAGGGTAAACCTACTCGTTTGGGGACTTTTGCCTTCATCTTGGTTGCATTGCTGGACCACAGCTGTGACCTTCTGATCCTTTGATGAACCTCCTGTTTCCCCTGTAGTAACAGAGGCATTGTTACGGTACAGTATACAGAATTGTGGTACAATAGAATCTTCTTCAATGGTATAACATGCCAACATACAGCAGTCCGGTACGTTAAAGAGGAAAAGGCAGGAGAATATATTTACACCATACAGTTTCTTAGAACATTCAACATAGCATAATGCAATTGTAAAATATATATTAGAAAACAAAATGTCCACAAATTTGCTGATGAATAAGATATATATCTAAATTGGAGAGACTAACGATTACGGCTTGACCTCTTTAGCTTGGAGCAAAAGAAGTGGGAAGTCATGAAACTTTAATACGTGGCCTCTGAGTTCAATCATTTGGTGCTCCCGAGTGTGAGCTCATTATTAATTCAGCATTCATGATCTATAAATGCAATCCTTCGGAGGTGTGAAGTCGTACAGGATATACCTTGAAGATATCTTCATGTTTCAGTCTAGAAACGAGTCCCTCAGCAGCAAGTTACATGTAGCTCTAAACAGTTAAAATTAGAATATATGCCCATGTTATTGCCAAGTGGTAGATGGTTCAACTAAACATACAGTGTTATGAATTATGGTGATGGGGCCACCCTTTGATTAACATTTGAAGAAAATAAAGTGATTTCCAGTCTTATTTGTCTAGTCCTCGGGATGTTACAATAGAGAACCATTTTTCCTTTGTTGCTCTGTGTCTCTCACCACTGTCTGGGCGTGGTGCGTTACCTCTATTGGTAGCCTGGTGTCCCTCCTGGCCCGGCTGGACAGACTGTTTGGACCTGATGGCCTCCGTTCTGACATCAGTTCTCATTCTTCAGGGAACCCTTTTCTTTGGCTCTGCTTCATGAACTGCTAAAGAGGACAGTAACATAAATAAAATGCACATGATTAAAACGCTGTAAACACCTGGAAGGTGTCGTGGATCTCTGGGCAACTGGTCTTGTAAGACCAGTGGCTATCCAAGTGCAGTGGACCATGAAGTGGGTCACATTGCTGTGCAATAGACAGGTTGGCTACCCCCGTCAGGTTTACACATAAAACCTAAGGCAGGGTGTGATACTCATGGTTTCCTCCAGTAACCCGTAGAACAGAAGCCCAAAACCTCACACACACATATCCCAAGAACTGAAAACCACCACAGATTACAAGTCCACTGTTACAACTTTCACATTGCCATAAACGTACAGGCAAAGTTGCCAGCAACAGGAAACACTGTCTTCTCGACTGGAATATTAGCATTTGAAGCAAAACTTTGACCTCGTGGTTTTAGTGTGTGTTGCTCTTACCTGCTGATGATGTCCATGTCCACACAGGTGTAGCAACTCGAGAGGCTAACGGAAGGCATACCTGACTTTCGACCGGGTTTACTGTCACCATAGCAACAACTGGACAGACAACTCCCGATGCAACCACGTGTACAGAGAAATGTGCACACGACCATGTGTGTGTGTGTTTGTATGTGTGTCACGTAATATTGTAGTATTGTGGAATAACTTAATACGGTGTGCTGTGTTGTTGTTGTTATTTTGAATTTTGACAGTTGTCTGTGTTCTGTCGCCATCTTGGGGCTGCTGTACATCACGGCCGGGTGTCACGTGACATAACAGCAGCCTGCCCGGGCAAGTCCCCGCGTACACGGTTTACTGCAGCTATCGTCGTGAAAAAGTAACTGTTTTGTTTCCTGAAATAAACTTAGGCTAAACAGCTAAACACTGAATGCGTGTTAACTTAGTTTAGCTGAACATATTTTGAACCCTGAAGCGGGAAAGTTCAATTTTTTCGCCCTGAAAATGTGTGGAAGAACCGCGTGCACACTCGCTTCTGACGAGGTGAGCCGAGCCTGCTCCTACAGAGACCGAGGAGGGCAGCGGAGACGGCCCCGCTGGAGGGACGGAGACGCGGACAAATACCGACCCTCGTACAACAAGAGCCCGCAGTCCACGAGTCCCGTGCTGCTGTCACAGAGGCATTTTGATAAGGTGAGGTGACGCTGCACGTGCCTGAGGGAGGTTGATAAACTGTTTAAAGTGATGGACGAAGATCTTGCCCTATGACGTCAAAATACACATCTGCAGAAACATCTTTTGGTAGATAACTGTGGAGGAGAGGAATACTCAAATCTGTAATAATCCAATACGGACACACAACAATTCAATGCAACAACCTTAATTAGTAGTTCAAATAATTAACCACAGATTTAGAACCGTTTAATTGCCAAAGTATGTTGTACATACAAGGAATTTGACATGGTGGAAGGTGCATAACATTAAACAATCAACACAGTGCAAAATACAAGACATGATTTAAAAATGGAAACAAAATACAATAAAATGAAGAAACAAATAAGAGTATATTAAAACAAGTATATTATTGATAAGTAGTAAAAATCCTCTCTGTCACAGTCTCAACATTATGGACCATCGTAAGCCCCCAAAAGGTAGTATGTACTTCAGAGTTATTGCATTGAACCGCATTATTGTTGTATATTGTTGGCACTTACGTTGTTGTGTTCACTCCCTGTATGTCTGCAGGATGCTCCTGTGGATGAGTGTGTGTTGGCCTCCATGCGCTGGGGTCTGGTCCCTGCCTGGTTCAAGGAGAACGACCCGAAAAAGATGCAATACAGCACCAACAACTGCCGCAGTGAAAATATACTGGAGAAGAAAACGTACAAGGTGCGTGCAGATTTAGGCACTGCTCAGCTATATCGTCATTATTGCTTTACGTCTAATCACTTTGTCTTCTCCCTAAAAGGACCCCCTGATAAAAGGGCAGCGCTGCGTCATCCTGGCTGACGGCTTTTATGAGTGGAAGAGGCAGGCAAAAGACAAGCAGCCTTTCTTCATATACTTTCCTCAGACCCAGGAGAAAACAGAGGAGGATGATGACCCCGCGATCTCAGCCGGCAATAAGGAGGATTCAGAGACCGTGTGCCCTCCAGAGGAGGCCTCCCCTGACTTGACAGAGGTTCATATTGGGGTTTCTATTGCAATATAAGCACCAGGAATCTTTACTTTCATCCAGATGAGAATGCAGCTGGGACGGAAATGACCATGACTGATAATATCATGTGTGGGAGAGGAGCCAAAGCTGTGTGCATGTGTCCTCCAGGTGTTTCTGTAGCATTCAGAATGTCATGCTACATACAAACTGGTGCCAGGATAAGGAGTGTAAAATCTGTCACATTTTTCATAGAATCTGCTAATTGTTGTGGCCGTACCTCTCTGCTCAGTGTGTTGGTCAGGGAGGAGAAGCACTCGGTGAGTGGACTGGATGGAAGTTGCTGACTATGGCTGGACTGTTTGACTGCTGGACACCTCCAGGTGGCGGAGAACCCCTTTACACATACAGTGTAATCACCGTGAGCGCCTCCCTGAACCTGGAAAGCATCCATGATAGGTGAGGACAGCTAATGAGAGAACACTGTTGGTGTCTGTATGAAATCTGAAGTTACTGTGTGGGTTGTGGTTTAGGATGCCAGCAGTCCTGGATGGAGAGGAAGAAGTGAGAAGATGGCTGGATTTTGGGGAGGTGAAGTCTCTGGACGCCATGAAACTGCTCCAGTCGAAAAACAGTTTGACTTTTCACCCCGTCTCTTCACTGGTAAACAACTCTCGCAACAACTCTCCGGAGTGCCTTCAGCCTGTAGATCTTAACAGCAAAAAGGTAGCAGATTTACTGTGGTATTTTACTGGTTTGTCAGGTGAGTTGAGAGGTTTAAGCTGACCAGTCTGACCCCTTAGGAGCCCAAACCCACAGCCAGCAGTAAGATGATGATGAGCTGGCTGACGAGCAGCGCGCCTTCAAAGAGGAAGGAGCCGACCACATGTAAGAGTAAAGAAGAGCCAGAAAGCAAGTCTACAGGGGCCCTTCACGAGTGGCTTCAGGGGGCCAATAAGAAACCAAGAACCAAATGAAGATACGAACTGGGACTGAAAGCTCTGCAGTGTTAAAACACCGTTCAGGCATTATTTATTCCACTGAAGCTATTTTGACAGTTGTGAGAAAAACATGCTTTTGCTTCATTCGTAACCTTTTTAAACGTAATAAAAAAAAATGCTACACAGATACTATTTCATTTCAAAATGTTCACAATAAATGTCAGAAATAAAGACAGCATGCTTTAATCAAGATTTTTTATTACCCTTATTACTTGAAATGTGAAGACATTTCAAAACAATGTAGATGCTATGCATTTATCATATTACTAATATAATAATGATGAATGCCAATACTTCCCCACACCCTTTTTTATTTTTTTTTTCTTCTTTCAAAAGTTACAGTATGTATGCTATCTTGTGATCTATAATGCATTTCAAAGTTTTAACATAATACGAACAGACGGTTAAAGATCTGATCGGTTAAAAGAAATGTCAAGCACTTAAATTGTTTGCCAACACGAGCAAATGGCAGAGTCTTGATATGCAGATTTACAACAACTGTTTGCTTCCCCCACACAGTGATTGAGAGGTTTGCAAATATACAAAGTCTTCCAATAGTCGACGGTAAAAACTAATTTACGAACCAATAGTACTCGGTTATGAATGATATTTATACTTGAGAGAAATCTCTCCTCTCTCCGGGGGCCATCGGGTAGAATGACACGCTGTCTTCATTTGGTTCATTCCCACGACAGATGTTGTACCAAGAATAACTGATTACGAGATGAACCTTATTTTTCCCCAATAGAGGAGCAGCAAATAGCGTGTCAGGGACAGCACTTATGTCAAGGAGCCGAGTCTGAACTCACACAATGTCCTCAACCTGAGCTACATCTGCATTTATTGTGGCTCCAAAGGGAGATTCTTAAGAATGGAGTCTTAAGTAATTGTGGATGACAGCAAAGTGCAAAAAAAAAACTCCTGTCATGGAACTAGATTTTCAATTATGTGCCAATTAACAAGAATCAGCAGGCAGCATATTATTGTGACCCACATGCACCTTCACACATTCTGCTCCTTCAGCTGACTTATATATTTTTTAGACTTTATGAGGTAAAGTGAAACCGTGGTCAAACAAATTTAAGCCACAACACAAATGACAAACAAAATGGGGGGGGGGCGGGGGGAGGAGTGTTTCCTCTCAACACAAACGTGAAGATATGTTTTGATTTTACCCAAAAAAAAAAAAAAAGGAGTTACAACCAAAACTGGGCATAAAAGCAGCGCTATATATGGAACCAAAAACAAGGTCAGCCCAAACCACCACCGCCATGAAAAAGTACGTGGGGAAACACCGGGAAGTAATAATCATCGTACAAGTGGACTCCGTGATGTTTCCTTTAGGTGTTCTTTGGGCTAGGAGACTCCTATTTTATAGAAAATGTGTGTTTTGTATACATAAGGAGGTGAGTGCAGCATGTTTGTTTTGTAGTATACTCGATGAGTGGGATGCTGCTTGTATGTTGGGCTTTAGGGATTAACACAGTGGGCCATGGGATAAGGGATACATAGACAAGGCAAGAAAGGGTAGTGAGGGGCAGAGACAGCCTGCCCCCCCCACCCACCCTGAAGATCTCCAGAGCCCTCAGCAGCTGCAGGTCTCCGCTGACGGCTTGGCTCGCTCGTTCCTGTCCAGCTTTATCGGCTCAGGGAACTCGTTGTACAACTCCACTTCGGTCTCCTGGAATCAGACAAAACAGTTGCATCTCCCGGCTTTCACAGGACAAATGTAGACATTTCCAATTCCTCAACATTCAAACCGTCTTAATAGGCTTTCCTGCTGGGCCGTTACCTGTTTTAGGGCGTTGCGTGCGATAGTCTGGAAGGCCTGCTCCACATTGATTGCCTCCTTGGCGCTGGTTTCGAAATATGGGATGTTGTTCTTGCTTTGACACCAAGCCTGTGCTCGCTTGGTTGTCACCTGAAACACACAAAATAGCGATCGTTTAACTTAGAAACATAAGAGCATGACTGTTTAACCCAAGCTATTTTTTAAAAACTGTTCTAAACTACATTTAAGGCCTCAAAAACTACCGACCATAACTGTACATTTCCTTGAAAAACCAAAACAAATGGTGCACATGACGACATATTATATAAATTAGGATTATCTGGACCCACCTGTCTGTTCTCCAGGTCTATCTTGTTGCCCAGCACCACAAAGGGGAAATTCTCCGGGTCTCGAGGGCTGGCCTGGATCAAGAACTCGTCCCTCCAGCTGTCTAGAGTCTTGAAGGTGTTGGGTGCCGTCACGTCGAACACCAGCACGCAGCAGTCTGCTCCGCGGTAGAACGCTACGCCTAAGGACTGGAACCTCTCTTGACCGGCTGTGTCCCAAATCTGAGAGACAGGATAGGTAAAACACGGTCGGGTTCACATACACAAAATAATCAGATTACTGTAAATAAAGAGATTTAGGCTTTGACTGTAGAGTTTACATGGTTCACATTAACCAGATCTACCTAATCTCCGCTATTCATTGGAGAGCTGATGTGAAGTCTTGAGTTATGTGTGGTACCAAACTAGAACCTTCTGAGAAAATAAAGGGACTCTGTTGGTGTTTGTGTTTATCATTGATACAGTGCTGTTCAAATTATTTTTTGACTCAGCATCACAACACATAATGGTGTTTGTGTAGAAAAACGCAGCATTGAAGCCAGTTCATTGCCTCTCTGTGGTGCGTGTGTAGAATACAAAATCTAAAATCAAAGTAAGCAAAACTGACCAGTTCTCCAGCTCATGTTAAACTTAAATCTGATTTTAACGTTAACTCAACTAACCAAGTGTTAGCCTTAAATAGGGTTTCCTTAATGTAAATATAAATAGCTTTTAGAGAAAAGTCATAGAAATTAAAACCGTGGCAGTCTATTGTTCATGCGAGGGATACGAATTAGCATTTTTATAACTTTATCTTGCTTTCTACGATTGTCTTAGATTTGATAATTGTGTTTTAATAAGAGAGAAGTTACTGTGGCATCCTTCCTCAGTACCTGCATTGTGACAAGTCTGTCATCCACCATGACTTCTTTCGTCAGGAAATCAGCACCTATTGTGGCTTTGTACTGGTTACTGAACTTCTTATTCACATACTGGTTCATCAACGAGGTCTTCCCAACTCTATGCGAAATATAAAAATAAGAATCACAGGACACATTCAGAAACAAGTGACACTGAAAAGGTCATTGTGATGCATTGATTAGTGAAGTACAAAATAGGTTCCTTGCTGGTTGAATTATTATTATTACACCAGATTAAATAGCCCAACTAAGTGTTTTCTTTACAATAAACCATCAAGCATCACTCTTTATTGTTGGCTCAGCAACACTCACCCAGAGTCTCCGAGGATGATGACTTTCAGTAGTACTTTCTTCCTTGATGTCATTGTGCCACAGCTGTAAACAAAAAAAAAAGAGAGAGAGAGAGAAAAAAAGAAAATCGCCAATAGAAGTAGATTAACGGTGGGATCGCTCAAAACAAGATGAATACAGGAGTTGTGCCTCGAGGACCATTTAGATATGGGCCAACAGGTCTCACAGAAAGACGATAAGGCCTGTGTGCTTCTCGAAATACACTCCAAAGAAAATTGGGCTGTTCTTGGAATGAAACCAAGCACACCGCCTCCAATACATAAGTTTCCTTCACAAACAAAAACAAATACAGTGATAGAGGGGAAACAATTTGCCGCACCACACCATCGCACAAGGCTCTAGATACAATTCATGAAACAATTCAGTACTATTTTTCCAAAATATAACAATGGTAGTGCTGAAATGACATGTACTATTTTTAGCACCACAGCTGTTTTTTTTATTTTTATTATTGTTATGCTGTAAAGCATTGATTTTGTGATGTTTATATTTTGTTTAAACAAACCATTCAATGGGAAAATAAACAACATTGTTTCATTCCCAAAGATACAATTGTAGTACCGTTATAAAACTGGACATTACAACAAACTGAAAGCAGAGCTGGAACACACACCCAGTTACTCAAAAACATTCTGAATGGAACCATAAATCGTATGAATCATTACACGTCTGTGATGTATTGCCTCATGACTTCCCAGCTGAGCTCTGTATTTGTCCTCCCAGACAGGTGTTGCACCTCAATCATTATCCACACAAAGTACTTGGAAACTAAACTAAACTTGTGAAAGAAGGTGCAATCTAGGACTTCGCTCAGTTCTTCTTCAAATGTGCTCATCCTTTCCCCGAATAACCAATCTATATCGGCTTGATATAAAATCCCGGTTTAACATCTCTAAATTATTTCTCCCAATTTTTCACATAACGTCATGCTGAAATGCGTCTTATGTATTGATGAAAACATCTGAAATCGCAATCAAAGAGCTGGATCATTAGAAGTACAGATTATCTTTTTGTACTAAAACTCATGGCTGATGCCGATTTAAACATTCTGCTCCAGACATCACCAAGCATTTCTTACTTTATATAAACCAAGTCATTATTAACATAAATATGTAGCAGTTTAACTCCACACATCACTTTTACGTTTACGTTAAATGAATGAAAAGCCACGGCTTGCATACACATCGGTGTTATTATGAAGCAACACGATCGTGGAGCTCTTGCTGCGGCTCTCATAATCTGCACCCCATGACAGTGTGTCAGGGACTGATCACATGGTTACAAAACACAGGACTAACGGAACCATGACTTGGCAAGCATGATTAGCACAGCAAATGCCGTAGTTGCATACAACACACATACAATTGATCACACAAGTGTGATCAATCGGTCGACCTCTCTGGTTGTACTTAATTCCACCAAATAAACCGAAGCAGAGAGTCCTGTATCAATATGTATTTTTACCTGTAAAGACATCAAACACACGGGCTACCACGGTATTATACATTACATTTTGGGATCAGATTGCTAGATAGCTAGGTAAGTAATTACATATAATAAAAACGGTATCATTATTAAACACAGACTCTTTCTACACACCGTGTGAGCTAACAATTACCACATCAGTGACACTTCTTAATTTAAGCTAACGTTTAGTTAGCTATGGTTTATTAACAAATATGAAACTTAGTTGACGACAGCTAACGTTATATGGTGAATACATATCGATAGTAAAACCCAATAACTAGAGTCACCAGAAACTCACCTGGGCAAAGATCCTGCGGTGAAAAAACAAAAATCAAAACTGGACTTTTCTTCTGCCTCGGTTGGAAGCGTTAGCTCACGCGCAGGCTAGCTAACAGCTCCGATAAACGTCTGCCGTCCGAAAACAACACGTTTAAAGCGTCGACAGCTAAATTATCTCCGATAGTTAGCTTCGCAGCTAACTCTGTTTGTCAAAGTCAACACTGCCACTGCCGACGTATACCTCTCTCTCTTCGTGCTAAACAGAGGCGATGTGGTCTCTTCGTTGGTACAATGGTCCGTTTTCGCCCTGTTAGCGTTGACGCTTGCGTTTTCCTGTCAAGCTAACGTGCTAATCCGCTAGCCGAGATCTGTTCACGTCCTCCAAAACAAGCTCTCTGTCGGCGAGGGCTGACGTCACGCGCTGGACACGCCCTGTTCCACAGCAACCGGAGAAGTCACAATAAACACAAATGTCCTAAATTATAACATATGTTTAATTACATATACAGGAACAGAAGAGCTAGTGAAAACGCGGAAACTACATGAGCCTTAACTCGTATGCTTCCCCTTCATTTTAATTGTCTTATATATAACAATTGTGAGTAATTAATGAGTATTCAGAACGACAAAATGTTGGCCTACATATCATCTATGTTGAAGTTAAATTGGTCTTTTCTATTAGCTATGTGTGGTTAACCACAATAACCTGCAGTAAGGGAGCCTGGGACAAAAGTGTGACCTACTCCCCTCTCCCCCCTGATGTTATGATTACTGCCTCATTGCTGTCATTCACTGGTAGGACATCCTAATGTCAGCCATCTTTGCTGTTTATTTGTCTTGACCATAGGTCTTGACTTGTCATGGCTGTTTAGTTCGCTCTTAATTCACACCCCGTGTTTGCAGTTGTGGTATTCTCTCTTAGCGGTCAACAGTTTGGGACCCAGTTTACAAGCTGTTTATTTTTTTTAATGGAAGACAGTGGCCCTGACGCTAACTTAGACCCAGCTCATTTCCAGAAGCTCCACGGTGTCTATGTGCTGGACTTTTGGGTGTAATAATGATTTTGAGGACTTTCCAGGTCTCCAGCAGAGTCAGCTACTCCCATGTCCTCTCTGACCAGCTCACTATACTCTTCACAGTATAGGCCAGGGGTGGGCAATTATTATTCCCAAGGGGCCACATGAGAAACAAGGACTGTAGAACCAATAGACTGAACTCAATCCTGCTCAATATTATTCCACATCTTTATAAAAAGCAGTAAATTCATGGTTTTGATAAGCTGTGAGTGGTAAGAGTAAATGTTATGATCACTGGTGGAATGTAACTAAGTATATTTGCTTAAGTACTGTACTTGAGTACAAATTCAAGGTACTTTACTTGAGTATTTCCATTTTATTCAACTTTGTACTTCCACTCCACTACATCTCAGAGGGAAATATTGTACTACTACATTTGTCTGGCAGCTTTAGTTACTAGTTACTTTGCACATTATAATTTTTCAAACCTTTCCAAACTACCCAAACAAGGAGTTAAAATGAGCTCCACCTTAAACATCTGCAGCAGGAATAATGATCCAAAAAATATCCACATGTAATAGTAAAACACTGACAGGGATCATGTTTCTGCAAAATTAGTACTTTTTGTAGTTGTAGTAGTTTGTTATAATTTTGTGTTTTTCAGTTCAGTGCGAGAACTCTAGTCTGTCTTGGGCTTGAACGAGTGCACTAGTCAGGTTGAATGTCTCAGGTGGATATGTGAAGGACAGGTGATCATCAGTGAGAGAGGATCTGGATTTGGATTTGTTAAACTTCATCACGGAGACATTTGGCAGGCTTTTTAATCCAGTGCTCTAGAATAGTCTTTTCATCTATGTCCTTAAGAGTCCATGGGCTGGAGCCTACAAAGACATTAACAGCAAACAGGTACCAGTTGTCTATAAACCACATTCAATAACAACATTGTCAGAATGCTAAAACACCTCTTGCTATTTCTAAAAGTTACACCTTACTGCCGAAACCCGGGATCGAACCAGGGACCTTTAGATCTTCAGTCTAACGCTCTCCCAACTGAGCTATTTCGGCCTGACGTAGTGCCAAAAAGATGAGTAATTAAACAAAATAAGTATATATTCCACTGAAATAGTCATTTTGTAGTGTTTACTGGTAAACTAACACGGGTGCCATTAGGAGGTTATACTAGGTCACTGACTACCAACAACTATTTCATGGGCAGTCAGTCCATCAGCGTCCGACATTTAAAGGCAAACGCTTCAAGAGTTATCTTAATGTCGTTGTCTTCTGAAAAATTAAAAAACTTCTTGAATTATTGTTTTTTTTCTGTTTTGTGCCACAATCGCTTCCGACGCACAGCGCGTTGTAAAGAGCGCGCCGTGACGTCATCACGTCGGACGGAATGAAGCGTCATCCTTTTCTGATGTAGAGCGGCGCAGCGGCCCTTTCTTTGCTGCTCTACGGTTTGTTTCCCCTCGCGCTGTCCGTTCGTATCCCGGTTTTCCCCCCCTCGGCTCTGAATTATTTCTCTTAACCATGACTCGAAAGTCGCCACTTCTCGCCGCTTGCCTGCTGCTGTTTCTGGCGGCCGTGAGCCGGGAGGTTTCAGCGGACGGTTTGGTGAACGAGGAGGTGAAGAGGACAGTGGACCTGGGCACTCATCTGGCCAAGATCACCGCGGAGATCGTCCTGTCCAACCAGGGACACTCTGCCGTGCACAGCTTCGTGTTAGCGGTGGAGGCTGACGTGGCCCCGCACCTGGCGTACATCGGAGCTTCGGTGAGCCTCACACCAGTGAATTAAACACCGCTAGCATCTCTACCTCCGGCTAGCTAGCATTTAGCCTGTTAGCTAACTACTCTATAGCATGCTACTCATTTCTTGGCTGTGCAAATCTTGCTGCTCTCTATTCATGCATTTGTTTTTGTCCTACATTGACTGCAGCAACAGTACGATGGTTATTAGCATGCTAACATACGACGTTAGTGTGGTCAATGAATGAATGCATGAACACAGCTAACTTACTAGGCTCATGTGATTCAGTGTGGTTCAGTAGGAGTCAACGTTAGCTATTGTTTCTACATGTAACGTGATATTGCTTCGTGCACGGTATTGGCAAGAGCTAATTGTATGTGCGCATTAATGTACCGAACAGCTCAACCTAGATTGAGGTCAATTCATTTTTGAATTGCTAAAGATGTTAACTTCCGCAGCGCTGCACGCTCTGTCAGTGGCTGAATGACACGTATGAGCTGGGCAGCTCACTTCCGTGTGTGACTGCGCAGGACTGCCCCCTTCCACTGTCATGCGTGAAGCTGCAACAATGCTCTGTTTTTAAGTCAGAATAATAAGCATACACACGGTTCCTTCAAGGAATTATTATGAGTTGCAATTTTAGACCTCTCACTTGTCCGGTATTTAGATTAAAAGCATTGTTCTGTCATAGAGAGTATGCTCAAACCACCATGTTTTTTTCCCCCCACAGGTGAAGGGTGATGAGGAGGAGGATGGGACACTTGAACTTCAACAGACAACAATTCAGGGCCAAAGGTAGGAGATCGGACTCTCACATTGTTATCCAGCAATCAAAGACTCACAACACATGTCTTCCTGTGCAACTGTCAGTCCAGTGACTTTTAATATTAAAACAAATGGGTTTGGCTATAAAACGATACTTAGCAACTCGTTAAATGAGGTCATTTTGGCAGCATTTTACAATGTTAAGTAATAAAACCAGTCTGTATCCTAGAAGAAATCCTTTAAAGAATCCAAAATTGAAGTTTGCATTTTGTAGTTCATGAGAAGCTGATATTTTACAGCATTATGCAAATGTTCCTTACCCGTGCTCCTCTCCGTCTCCTCTGATCCCATTCAGTGGGGTTTTTTACAAAGTGCAGCTGCCCTCCAGTCTGGCAGCGGGTGCTCAGCTGAAAGCGAAGGTGGAGATGACATTAAGCCACGTCCTGAGGCCCTTCCCCACACACATCACACAGGCTGAGCGCCAGCTGGTGGTCTTTCAGGGGAACCACTACCTGTACTCCCCGTATCCCACCCGCAGCCAGACGACGCGTGTCCGCCTGGCCTCCAAGACTGTGGAGACTTACACCAAGCTGGGCAACCCCAGCAAGAATGACGAGATCATCGAGTACGGACCTTTCCGTGACGTGGCGCCGTTCAGCGAGGTATAGCTTTTGGACCACATTGGACGAGCTTCGAGCGAAGCTGCAAAAAAAATAAGTTTCTGAAACTTCTGTGTTGTGTCTCTTCTCTCTATTGTCCAGGATATAATGAAGATCCATTACGAAAACAACTCGCCCTTCCTCACCATCAGTAGCATCACCCGAACCATTGAAGTCTCTCACTGGGGTAACATTGCCGTAGAAGAGACTATCGACTTGAGGCACACGGGAGCCATCCTGAAGGGGCCCTTTTCACGCTATGATTATCAGCGTCAGTCAGACAGCGGCATCTCATCTGTCAAGTCCTTCAAGGTGTTGTATTAAACATAAACCACTGTTGTTTTTACTGTTACGGTGATGATGATGACTATTTACTTTCTCCCCAACAGACTATCCTCCCTGCCTCCGCTCAGGATGTCTACTACAGAGATGAGATTGGCAACATCTCCACCTCCCATCTGCAGGTTCTGGAGGATTCAGTGGAGGTGGAGGTCAGGCCTCGCTTCCCCTTGTTCGGAGGCTGGAAGACCCACTACATGATCGGCTACAATCTGCCCAGCTATGAGTACCTCTACACCCTGGGTGAGTTGACTTCTGACAGCCTAACTAACCCAAACATAGGAGAACACTTTGATTCCTCCCCATAGCCACACAACCGATGTTTGCTGTTATCCTGATTTAGACTGAATCCCAGGATTGTGTTTATCTTCTAGGTGACCAGTATGCACTGAAGATGAGACTAGTTGACCATGTGTACGATGACCAGGTGATTGACTCTCTCACTGTGAAAATCATCCTGCCAGAGGGAGCCAGGTCAGTGATTGCAAGCAAATCTTCAGTATGTCAGGTTTAGGAGCGACTTCTGCAGTATTCGATGCTGAGTTCTCATGTTCTCCCTGTAATGTCCTCTCAGAAACATCCAGGTGGATACACCTTACAAGATTGATCGCATGCCAAACCAGCTGCACTATACATATCTGGATACGTTTGGCCGACCAGTGCTGATCGCCACGAAGAACAACCTGGTGGAGCATCACATTCAGGATGTTGTGGTAAGACGAGATTGGAATTCAGACATTCTAGATTACATGCATATATTATTTACCTGCATATTTGTAGGAGATTGCTTGGACTACTGTAACATGTAGCTATTACTGTGTCATTAGCCACATGAAGCGAGATAAACCGCAGAGCTGGTAGTAGTTTAAACTTGTCCTCAGGAAAGTTATCTAGATAAATTGTTAAACTTGCTTTGTGGAACAATGCTTAGGAGAAGCCTCTAAGAACAGCAAAATGAATGTTTTTCTGCCTGGCTATACATGCATTCTTCACAGTACTGTATTTTCACATTGTCAACAGTCAAAACAAGGTGTTCACTTTATAATATGTTAGAGAGAAAAGCGATTTTTATTTAAGAAATTATCAGTGTAGTAATGTGATGATATATTGTTTCAGCACTAGATGTTGGGTTATTAAGCTCTCTTCTTAGAGGGCACCCCCATGGACTTTCGTTGCATGTTGCGCCTCATTTCCTCATATCTCTCTACTGTAGCTATCTAATAAAAGCAATAAATGCCCCAAAAAATAAGAAAACCTTCATGATATGAGCTGTGAAATTGTCTACAAATCTGAGTTAATAAACCTCTTTTGTGATTTCCAGGTTCATTATAACTTCAACCGGATCCTGATGCTGCAGGAGCCTCTCTTGGTTGTAGCGGCCTTCTACATCCTCTTCTTCACCGTCATCATCTATGTCCGCCTGGACTTTGCCATCACAAAGGTATGACCGGTTTCTATAAAGGGAGCCTGCTTTCCCTTACTTTGGCAGATATTCTGCATGATTCTATCTTCATTAGTTTCTTGTCACTTAACGGTTTTAAATCTGCGTTAATGTCTTTGTTCAGGACCCTGCGGCTGAGGTGCGCATGAAGGTGGCCTCCATCACGGAGCAAGTGCTGACTCTGGTCAACAAGCGTCTGGGTCTGTACCGACACATGGACGAGGTGGTCAATCGCTACAAGCAGTCCCGCGACACCGGGGCGCTCAACAGCGGCCGGAAGACCCTGGAGGCCGACCACCGCACCCTCACCAACGAAATCAGCTCGCTGCAGGCGCGCCTCAAAGCCGAGGGCTCCGACTTGGCCGATAAGGCAAGTGACGCGTATTTGAGAGCATAGACTGAAATGGTCGTAAGTGAAATAATCTAAAAATACAGTGACGTTAACCCTCCTCTCCCCCCCTCTCTCTGTGCTCTCAGGTCGGGGAGGTGCAGAAGCTGGACGGCCAGGTGAAAGAGCTGGTGTGTCGCTCCTGCCAGGAGGCGGAGCGGCTGGTGGCGGGAAAGGTGAAGAAGGAAGCTTACATCGAGAGCGAGAAGACTCTGACCGCCAAGAGACAAGAGCTCGTCGGCCGCATCGACAGTCTGCTGGATGCCCTCTAAACTGCTCCGGCCACACTAGCACACAGACACGCGCCACCCCTGATACAATATACGACCGACTGTTTGTATGAATGAGAGTTAAAAGGAAATGTGACACAAATGCTTACACTTTTTTTTTTTACCATGTTTGAACCCAGACATGGACAATTGACATCTCATCTCTGGTAGTGATGGGTTTATCCAAACATGTGTGCCTTGTGATAAACTTGAGGTCACTGCACGCTCAGCTTTACAGCAGCTACGACACAACTTTGGGCTTTTTTTTGTTTGTCTGTTTTTGAGGTTGTTGAGCTACAATTAAAATGTCGCACTGCTCAGACTTGACACCTGATTTTGATGTTCAAATTTGGACTTTTTTTTTTTTTCTCCCCTCTTCAGTGTGTATGGTTATGGGACTTTTATTTTGGAAACTAATAGGAGAAGGGCCCACCTGTTTTCGTTCTCATGTCTTTCCTCACATTATGCCTCATTCTAAGATTGAATCACCTCTAGCTCTCAAGTATTAAGGTAATCTTTATCCAATCATGTCTCTTTTGCACTTTTTTTTTTTTTTTTTTTCTACTCGCCCATGACTGACGTTTATATTTGGACAAATTTAAAGCTCTGACTCATCGTCTCAAATGTTTGTTTTTGATGTTCCTCAATCATATTTTCTACATTTTGTATGATTTTCTTTGTTTTGTAAGTGGTGGTGTTTTGAACATGAGATTAGTAAAAACATGAGATTAGGTTGTATGTGAGAAACGACATGGGAGGGGGGGACACAGGTTTGCAAAATGGGCAATGTTATGGAAAGCTGTCAAATTTGAAATAAAGTTTTGAGAAACATTATTTAGAATGTTTTATTTTTTTAGATCAATCAGCAGGTGTATGAAGACAGACATTGGAGTTTTACTTTACAGCTGGTGCATTAGTTCATTTGGGGAAGCAGTACCCTTGGTTAATCAAAAGAGGGCGCACCTGTATCAAGAACCACCACCTAACCATATTGGAGACTTTCTTCTGTTCAACAACTACACTGCATTTTAGAACCTGACATTTAATACTCTGAAGATAAAATGTCATCCTAAAATAAAAGTCTGTGATATATGCACTAGGACTGGTGCTCTCTTTTAAAACTGGCAGCTCAGAGGGGATTTCCAGCACATTGTTGCATTCCACCTATCGCCCTCTCCTCTCCAGCCAGCTGAGCAGCCGACCTGCCTCGATGAAATTTGGAGCCCAGGACAAACACAAGGGTCAGTGTGAGGTCACTGCTTTCCCTCTGAGGTCACCAGGAGTCCTGGCAGGCCACTTCCTGCTCCATAATAACCTCACAATGATAATGTTAACATATTGTATGTGCCATACAATAATCATTCTGTAAATACACAGCAGGGGGAAAGCAAAGACAATGTCTGTTAGCACTGATGCTCGGTTGCTGGTGAAAGGCCACACAATAGCATTTTTGTTTGCGTGTTTGTACACGAGTGGAGCTTTGGAGCGGTGAGAGTCCGGAGTGCCGCCGAGTCTCATTCTCACAGCCGACAAGACTGCTGCTGCTCGCACACGTCCACCCCAACACCAGTGACCATGTGGAACAAACCGCTGAGCTCACGTCTGCTTTGTAACGATGCTATTGGCTCACTCTGTGAGCGTTGGACTGACTGAAAGGATTTCTTTGGGGACTCAAAATTCAATTATAATTTTTGTGGATTTCAGAGGTTTTATAGAATTAATTACTGGCCTTGAAAATATCATTTTTCTAAAAGAACCTGAATTCATTAGTATATTTAAGGTGTCTGGCCTGCTCTCCATCCTCGGATCAACACTATGATAGAGATAATACCACTGCAGTTTGAAAATGAGTCTGTATTTATCAAATTATTAAAATTGTTTGTTTTGAAACGATTGTAGGCTACAACAATGAAAAATGACACTACGCAGAATAGTAGGCTGCTGCCTCTCAGACTGGCCATTCATTCTCAGAGCATACGTGCTAAATCATGTGATCATCTGTTAGTAGGAGTAAGTCTCTTAATAAATGCCTCTTATTCTTCAACGTGCCTTTGAATGTGATGTTAGAATGAAGCTGTTAGCAAGTATCACACTGCTGGACTATTACCTGCCTCATGAAGGGCATCACTGAATAAGGCTCATGTTTTGTTGATGCATTGGCCTCCCTGTTTGACTTACGTTATATCATTGACAGCGCATTGTCTTGTGTGGTATTGGTGTTTGGCTGATTGGCCTTTTAGTCTTTTCAGTTCCAGCTCTGTCCTCTGGCCCAGGATGTGATTACCCGTCGCAGAAGAACTGCGGTTTATCTGTTGGCGTAAGCCGAGCAGAATACTGTTTAAACCGGAATTCATGTGCAGCACTGTATCCTGATGTGGCAAACCGTGTGTGTGAGTGTGTGTGTGTGTGTGTGAGGTGGATGAGGGGGTTTGTGCAGGGCGGTGGACGGGTTGGGCCATGTGGTTGAGCTGTCATGGCCCCCCTCAAGCATGGAGTTGATTATTATCTTCCTTTCCTGAGGTATAGTAAAGATGCAGAGTGTGTTCTTGCTTTATCTGCCAGAAAAATAATGAATATGCAAAAAGAATGTGGAGTCAAACTACGCATCAGTTGAAGGGGTAATCCACAAACCCCGGGCCTTGTGACGTGGTGGTGATTGATTACATTGAGGGCTCACCTGCAGCACTCTCCCTCTTAATCTTTCTTTCTTGCTCTGAAATACACACACACACACACACACACACACACACACACACACA